TTACTTATCACAAGTTTATGGGAATGAGAGTGCGAAAAGACGCATAAAATTTAATCAGACACAACTAAATGTCAAAATCAGATTTTGTCCAAGTTGGTAGTTCACATCGTTTCAACCTACATGTTCATTAGTTATCTTTTAAGCGTGACGAATTGATTTGAATAAGTGTTAGGTCGATAGTGCTATAGTTATATTATGTTTGCATAAGTTAAACTTGAAAATAGTAAGAGTTATGGGACTGTTTCGAAAATCTGTTGGTAACTCGAAGTTTTATTATTATCTAGCTTATTTTGACATTAAAGATAGTAGTATGAGATTGTTGTGCTTAAGCTTACCAATTTGAGGACACTGTTTACTGTTAAGTGGTAATACATGTTGTTTGTCGAATATAGAGTATGTTTGGTAAAGATTAAAATCGGATTAAAATTGAAAAACTAGCAGTTATTTTAACTTTTATTAGACGGGTGGAACCCAATAACAGTTATATTTCAATTTTAATTGGATTTTTAGTGTTACCAAACAAGCTCTATGTATAAAGCACACAAAATAGTGAAAAGTAAGTAAAAATATATTTACAATTACGATGAAAGTATTTTCTATTAATCATTGTTGTGACTTTTATATAATTTTTTGATAGTAAATTTATTTGTATCTTATGCTGAACACAATAAATTAGTATGTCGTTTCAAAATATATTGGCATCCATTTAGATTTTGAGTATGTTATTCATATACATTAGTACGTACATGCACGACAGATGTCCATAATTAAGAATCTTGCATGTACGACATGATTTGAGAAATGAATTTACATTATAAAAAAAATTATACTTCTTTGACAATTGCTATGGAATCGAGGCATGTGATGCTTACATGATATTTGTTAGCATTGTAAGTGGGAAACTTCTCGTGTGATCACAAGAGAAGACATGTGATGTACATTTGATGGTCACTGGAGGATGGTCCATTTAGCGTACGTTTGTAATATTATGGTCATGAGAGGATGGTCCATATATTGCATGTTTGTGATATTATGAGTAATGTCAACACGACTAGGACTTTTTGGGTGATCATAGGGGAAGTTAAGAGATATACTTCAGGTAATCACAAAATGATGGTCCACTTAACTATGTCAATTTGACATTGATCATTTAGTTATTGATTATTGATATTGATGTTGCGCACATTTATATTCGGTGCGTGGTAATTGGGTCAAGGACTCAATTTTAAAAAAAAAATATTTAAATGGAATTCTTTCTTATGAACATTTGAATATAAGCATTTCCAGCATGATATTTGACAAGAATACAAAGTACCCTATATTTATATTCAAGAATATAGACGAGTTTGACAGCCTGAAGTTTATATATGATATGACTAGCTGCTGAAGCTCCAATAATATTCTGAGGATCAATGTAGTTAAATCACAATTTGATGGGTTAACGGTATCTGATTTTGGGATATTTTACCACGAGTGTTCATGTGTCATCATCGGGTAGCGGAGAAAGAAAGTTTGCTCCTTGTCAAATTTTCCCGCAACCCACATGCTAGGACAAGTCTTAACAGCAAGACATGAGAATTAGAAAGGTGCACACTCACACGTTTCATATGAATATATGAAACTTTTAGCATTAAAATATTTATTCCATTTTGTTATTTGAACATGTAAACACCAAAAGAGAGGCGCACACTCACACCTCTTGGTCAAATTTCAATTGCTAAGTGTTAAATTTACACTTATTTAAGCCATCAGAAATGGCTTTTGTTATTATTATCGTGAGTTTGATACTTATTTGTGATTTTGGGTTCAGTTTTTTCTTTTCCAGTTTTTTTGGTAACTGTAAAAAGAAAAAATGGTGTGCTAATGTTTGCTTAGTTTGTCATTTATGTAGTAATAATAAAATTATTTTGATTGTTCGCTTACAATTATTTTTTATCCTGGATTTTTATTTCGGTTTAACTTATTAATGCTTTTTTTTTTGAAGTTCTTTTATATATCTGATCGGTAAATGTAGCTACTCTAACATACATTATTTAGATTCCTACTGTGTATCTTTATCTAATATCAAACTTCAAACTCTAGGTCATGCACTAACTGAATAAAGGAATTAACTTTATACATAATTTGTATGTATGAATTGTATGTATAGAATTAGGGAGATGGTCATGCACTAACAGAATAAGAAGTTAACATTATACATAATATGTATGTAGACATGTAAAGATGGGCGGGCCGTAGGTGAACTGGCCCGCGATTCGGCCCACGAACTGTGTGGGCCGCCCGCACCTTGAACCGGTCTGGGCCGGTTCAAGGTGAAACGGGCCAGCAGTTAACCAGCTGCAGGCTACAAGCCTGCAGTATCAGAACGGTCATTTGACCGTTCTGAAAAATATTTATTTATTTATTTTTGTAACGGTAAATTTTTTTTTTTGTGTATAAATTGTGGTATTGTGAAGTGGCAAAATTTTAAACTCTCACAATCTACAAATACACGCTACAAAATTTGAAATATATATTTTCTCGTTCTCTCTTAATATTTTCTGCAAATATTTTTCATATTTAGTAATATGTACTTTCTTTTCATCTTATTAGCTAATTTCATATGAATATATGAAACTTTTAGCATTAAAATATTTATTCCATTTTGTTATTTGAACATGTAAACACCAAAAGAAAGGCGCACACTCACACCTCTTGGTCAAATTTCAATTGCTAAGTGTTAAATTTACGCTTATTTAAGCCATCAGAAATGGCTTTTGTTATTATTATTGTGAGTTTGATACTTAATTATTTGTGATTTTGGATTATGTTAGGAGAAAACCAAGATGGGAGTAAATATAGATGAAGAAAGACGAAACGGAATGAAATTGGTAGTATTGGGATCAAATTCCACAAAGTAGAAATTCAATAGGACTAAATTGCATTATTTGAGAAAAGTGAGGCCTTTGTGAGAAACATTAACTTAATTGGGCCTTGGAATTGGAATTGGTATGGGAAGTGACTTCAAAAATGCTTTATCGTGAATACTTTAATTTATGTTATAGGATCTTCTGTTTTTGACTTTTATATTTGTATACTAAAATTGATAATGGTAATTTGAGATGGTGCGGAGATCAGAGGAAGGAAAAAAAGGAAAAAAAAAAAACTTTTATCTTACTAATCTGACGACTTTGGTTCTGGTATATTTAATCATTGTAAATCCATACTTTAATTAATAGGATTTTTTTATAATTTAGTTAACATTAAAGATGTTGAACTTGCACTATTAATTTGTTTATCAATGTCAAAAGGCTTATGTAAAGCAGGTTACTGTGGAGCAAGGTTATCTATAATATTTTCCTCATACTTTTACCATTTTGATTTGTTGGTCCATGTGTTATCTTTATTGTCTAATTCAATTTTAATGTGTAAATCACTACTGAATAAGATGCTTTTATGTTAATTTGTAACTTATAACTGGTTTTAGGTCTGAAGTCTGCTAAATGTTAATTTTAGTATGTCATTTTGTTAGTTCTAAAAAGTTTGGATGATATGGGGAAGAGGATTTTCGACTTTTATATTTGTACAATAAAATTGATAGTGAAATTTGAGATGGTGCGGAGATCACAAGAAGGAAAAAAGGAAAAATCTTTTATCCTACTAATCTAATGACTTAGGTTTTCTTGAATGAATCTTTGCTTTTGATATGCTCCGAATTTTTATGCTATGCTGGATTTTTTGAATTTAGTTTTGATGGTAATGGAGTGAAGATTATGTGGAATATTCATGTTTGAGTTTATTCAATTTTATATATTAGAAGTAACATAGACATGGATATAAAATTCAAGCCATGTTATTCAATGATGCAATTCAAAAATTTGATGTTGTAATTGAAAAGGGAAAATCTTACATTTTATAAAATGGAAACACAAGACCTGTCAACGGGAAGTATCGAAATGTGAACGATGAAATCAAATTGTCTTGCACAACTAAAATGGAGGTACAAGAGATTAAAGAACCTATAAGATATCAAACTCTTTTTTTCAATTCAATAAAGTACAAAATTTCACTAACAAAGATATCATGATTGGTAATTATACTTTTCAGTCAAATCCATAGTTTGCAATCATGTTTGGAGAGTTTTACTAAGTATTAGTTCAAAAATTCAAAAAAATCTACCCACATTTTATAATCAAGTCCTATTTTAATAATAGCTACTTATTGGAAAAAAAAAAAAAAAAACCTCCACATGACATTAGTGAAAGCATTGGTGTAGAAATTAATGATATCTAAGGTTGTTCATTGGCTAATGAATTATTCTTCGTTCAATTTTTTTCTCTTTGTTTTCAGATATTATAGGATTGGTAGTCAAAGTAAAACCTGCGTTCGTCATCAACGTTAAGAGGCCAAGTGAAAGAACAATGAAGAAATAGGAAGTGATTCTCCTAGACAGTAGGTAAACATTATCCATAAAATAAAATAAATTCTTTTAATCAAATAAAAAGAAGATAAACTCTATAATATTACTTACTCAACAATTTTGTTCTTAGTACAAGTGTAACATAATGAAATTATATTTGTGGGGGAGATTTGGCTGCAACGAAGGAAAGTTTATAGAAGACATTGTTACGAAATGCCAATTATTGCAACTTTGAATGTGAAAACAAGTTACTACGAAGGTCCATACTTTGTAATTATTTTATTATCATATTTAAACGAACTCTATGCTAAACTCATTAATCTATGCTATGTTCTTACTAATGTCTATTGAACATGTGAACTAAACATCTCCACTTCAAATGTTAGTATCATTGAGATCAATTCACAACTTGAAGAAACTAATGCTATTAAAAATAGGTGAGCATGATTTCTTCGGTCGTTATAATTATATGTACATTATTACTATGTCTAAATAGGTTTTTAGATAGCTCAAAGATTATTTATTTTGTTTTCTTCACAGAACTAAAAAATTACTATGTGGTGGAGGGTTGTACAAGCTATTGGGGCCCACAGAGAGGATGATGGATGTTGGTATTGTAAAATTAGATGATATTGTTAGAAATAGTGTAACTAAATTGTATTGTGCTTTTATAGGCAAGATTATAAAGGTTCAAAACAAGAACAATCCATGGTATGAAATATGTAATGGGTACGGTGCAAGAGTTTACCTAGAGGTGGATAAAAAAACTGTCGCATGTACAAGACGTGAAATTAAGGACATAGCTTTTACTAGAAAATATTTGCTCAGGTTAATAGTTTCAGATGGTAATCAAGAAGTTCATGTCATAGTCTATGATACTGTTGAATCTTTCATAAGATGTATAGTAATCGAATATGTTGAGGCTCTTTTCAAGGTAAAAATATAATTTTGATTTTGTGTTTTCAACATATCATATTGCTTCTAACTAAAATTAGGCGACTAAGTCATCATTGTAAAATATACCTTGGTATATTCTCCTCAGACCAACAAAAAGGAATTGTGTGAATATTACAAGAAGCTTATGTTGTCAGAAGATAAAGAGCTCAAATTCTTGGTGAAGATGGATGTGAAGAAAAGAGAAGAAAAAACACGGAAGAAATTGATTGTCGAAGAAGTTTACAAGGTGGATGCAAAGGACATAAATGAAGGAAGCCATCCAAACAAGAAACTAAAAATAGAAAATTGAATATTAATTTAGATTAGAGAGACACATATTATTATTTTTGTTCAAAACACCGACACAAAACACACCTGTTATTTTATCGTTTATAATTTAATATGAGAAATATTATGTTATATTGAAAACAAATTCGCTGCATCATTAAAATTGTGAAAACAATACACAACAAAATAAATAAACAAAACTTTGGAGATTTATTTTAGACATCACATTAATGACTAATTTTAAAACTAAATTAGTGTTTTAATTAATATTCATCTTCACAATTATTATTGCAGAAGAAACAGACACGCATGCTATAAATACACGTGGTCTTGGAAAATTAATTTAGACAAAATGATGTATACATGAACTTGAAGAATGAATTTATACCATAGATTAATACGATAATTCTTGAAAACAAAATAAAATAAATGCACAATAGTTTGGAGAATTAATTTAGACATCACATTAATGACTAATCTTAATCTTAAACCTAAATAAATATTTTAATTAATATTCATCTTCACAATTACAATAGAAATGGGTCACGCATGCTATATATACTAATATACAAGTGATCTTGGAAAAATAGTACTTTAGACAAAATGATGTATACATGAACTTGAAGAATGAATTTAAACCATAGATTAATGGAATAATCTTGAAAACAAAATAAATAAAATAAAATAAATGTCAATTATTTATTTATGTACATGTATAATAATTAAAATTTATTTATTTATAGATATATAAAATATCACATCAAATCTTCAAGTTCATGTACACTTTATATATTTTGGGAGCTATTCGATTATTCTAGAAGTAAATAAATTTTTTAAGTACATGTAATTATCCAAAAAATATACTAAAACATTTACATAGATGCATGCATGCACACACACACACACAATGATAATTAATTTTTGAATACTTTTACCTAAATAAATGCATGCATGCACACATACACAAATAATTATATTATACATTGAATATATGTATAGTTAGAAATCTAACACGACATCTATGCGAGAATTTTTCATTTTCATAACCAAAGTACTCACACACAGACACACAAGCATTAGTAGAAATAAATCATGTACCCATGTGTTGGTAAACGTACACACCTTTTAATTATCATCCATTTGAAAATTTTGAATCACTTGATTGGACAGTAATTTATATTCATTAAGTATAAATGAATTTACTTCATCTTCATGTATGTATTCATTGTCATTAATACTAAAATAATTAGCTTTTACGTTCATGTATTTCCAGGGGCGGACGCAGACCTTAAAAGTTAGGGGGACACAATCGAACTTGCAAAGAAGTTGAGAGAAATTTTACAATCGAAAATTTACGTCCAAAAAAATCATACCCCGTGTAATTTTATATCCGAAAATTTACATGGGTTATGACTTTTTCGGATGTAAAATTTCGAAAATTTTTGATGTCATATTCCATATAAAATTTTCTAATACAATGATAAAGATTACATTGAGAATCGCAAAAATGATAATAGTAATGAAATAATTGAATTTTTTTAAAAAAAATGCGAGTTAGACGTATTTTTTTAAGACTCGCGTTTAACGTATTTTTAACTATTTTCGATTTCTGTTTGGACTATTCGATATGCTCATAATGTAGTTCTCGAAATAAGTTTTGAGATGACATAAGCAATTTATAGATTCGACTAGCGTACGATCGTCGGAGAATTTTTAAAATTAGCATGTTATCGAAATTCAAATTTATTGTGATTTTGCCTCCATTTGATGGAGATTAAAATCAAATTTTTAGTAAATTTCGATAAAAGTTAAACAGTTATAGATTTTATGAAATATGTTATTAAAATTAATTGTTAATTTTAATTTAGATTTCAATCGATACCAAACACGATTTTATAAAATAAAAAAAAAAAATCTCAAAAGTTGGGGGAGGGGGCACCTGTCCGCCTAGGTCCGCCCATGTGTATTTCAATTAATATTCATCTTCGTTTAGCTTTTTGTCTGTAGTATCTCATTAAAATTCTCATCCCATTGCCTATCTCTTTCAAAGACACACATATTTTGCAGGTGGTATTGTGGAGGAAAACCATTAAACCCAAAAATTGTGATTGAAAACAAGTGTATAGAAATGGCTTTGACGCTGAATCCAAATCCCTTAAACCGTCAAGACCAAAAATATTCTTTTTTTTTTTTTAACTTTTGCTTTTCCACAAACGGCCATCCTCAGATCTCCCAAGTGCTTCATGGCTTCAACTCCTCACTCTAAGTTCAAATAAGCTCTCAATTATTTGATTAATTCACTTTTAAACTGTCAATTGATTATTTTCGATTTTTTGATCTGGTTTTTCTTTTTGTTCCGTCTAAATTGCAGTTATTAATTTAATTGTTTAAATTTAAAATTGCCTTTTATGATCTTAATGTTGATTGAGCATATTTTAGTTTTCTTGTGTATTTCTATTGATAATTGCATCGACTTTAATCGGCTTTTTTTCTTCTCAACTTCATTTTGGTATAATTGTTAAAAAAATGAGTTTGTTCATGTGGGTTTCTATTGCATAATTTGATTGAAGAGTGTAATTTAATTCTTATTATCCTTTTCAAGCAAGAAGATAGGGAAAAAAAAAAAAAAGAGGTTCATCAAGGTTCAGTTTTTTCTTTTCCAGTTTTTTTGGTGACTGTAAAAAGAAAAAAATGGTGTGCTAATGCTTATGCTTGCTTAGTTTGTCATTTATGTAGTAATAATAAAATTATTTTGATTGTTTGCTTACAATTATTTTTTATCCTGGATTTTTATTTCGGTTTAACTTATTAATGCTTTTTTTTTTTTTGAAGTTCTTTTATATATCTGATCGGTAAATGTAGCTATTCTAACATACATTATTTAGATTCCTACTGTGTATCTTTATCTAATATCAAACTTCAAACTCTAGGTCATGCACTAACTGAATAAAGGAATTAACTTTATACATAATTTGTATGTATGAATTGTATGTATAGAATTAGGGAGATGGTCATGCACTAACAGAATAAGAAGTTAACATTATACATAATATGTATGTAGACATGTAAAGATGGGCGGGCCGTAGGTGAACTGGCCCGCGATTCGGCCCACGAACTGTGTGGGCCGCCCGCACCTTGAACCGGTCTGGGCCGGTTCAAGGTGAAACGGGCCAGCAGTTAACCAGCTGCAGGCTACAAGCCTGCAGTATCAGAACGGTCATTTGACCGTTCTGA